GAAATCCAAGAACAGGAGTCAGGAGTCCTGGTTCCCACCTCAAAGATCCACCTTCCTCTTTCCTGAACCAGACCTTAATGGTGGGTTTGATGCCCTCTCAGCTGTAGGACATGAACATTTCTCAGGAAACGGAAGTCTTGTAACAGACAACCGCACAAACTCACAGGCAAACACTCAAGTTTTCCCAGCACAAATTACCTTGGTAGATACCACTGCACAAGGGAAAATGCACATCTGTAACGCAGCTGCGGACAGGGAAAATGACAAACTTGCTATGACTGTTAGTGCCACCTTTGAAAGATGCCAGTCCTTGGAGCCCCAAGCCTGGAAGTGGTCAGCAAGGCCGCTCTGCCTCAACAGCCCCCGAGAGAGTTGAAAGAGTAAAATCAGAGCGCTTTTGAATGGCAAGATGCTGGCTGGATGGTGCCTAGCATCTTCCCCTGCTCTCTCTCTTGCAAGTCCTCTTTCAGGACCAAAGAAATATCCCAACAACGCTGCCCTCTACCTCTAAAAGGAGACAGGAGGAGTTAAAGAAAGAAAGAAAGAAAAAAAAAGACAGAGAGAGGAGGAGCGATCCGAATAGAGGTGCATCCCTGCAAGAGCCACCAGAAAGGCCCCTAGAGAAACTCCCTGCGGGGGCCAGGAATTTGCCCTCCCTTACTGCACCTGGTCTTTCAAGAGCATGTAGGCGGGTTCACTCTAAAAACAACAGCTCCAGGACACCTCCTGTGATAACCCAGCAATTCAGTCTGAGAGAAAATGGCCAGGGGCCCTAGCCTTTTTTTTTCCCCCCTCCCCCCCTTTATTTACAAATGTTTCATTTCAGACCTCAAGCCATACCTAGAGAGGAAGGGGGGGAAAGAAGTCAGCAGCTGAAAATGGAGGAGGCTGGAGCACAAAAACACTTGATATTTAGGTCAAATAGATAGATGTGCGTGTGCGTGTGTAGCGAGAGGCTGGAGGAAACCATTGCGAGGCCGGCGCCGGAGAGGATGCCGGCGGGGAGCGGGCGGCGGCCGAGGAGCCCCTTCCCCGCGGGCACGGAGCCCGCCCCGTCTCCTACTCCAAAGTAAACTGCTCTTGCCCTATTTAGGGCAGAGCATGGCGCAGTAGCTATATTTGACAGCCGAAGTAAACAAGATCTCAGCACAAGTGGATGGAGCACAACAGCTGCCCAAGATCAATCAGGCGGCGGCGGCGGGGAGCGCGCCGAGGGCTGCCGGAGCTTCCCCGCCTGGGCGCGGGGATCAGCCCCGGCCCCCGCCCGCCTTTCCTCTCCTCTCCTCAGCGCTTCTGGTAAATGGCCCCCGCGCAGCCCTTCCCACCATCCGGCACAGCCCAGACAGCTCCGGGTTGGGGCTGGGTAAATACCCGGGGGGAGGGTTTACAGAGAGAAAGGCAATTTATAGCCCCGCATGGAAGGCGTTTGTTGTGGCTGATGCGGGAAGCGGATTATATATATATCCACACACACAAAAAAAAAAGCAAGCAAGCAAGCCTGCCTTTCTGCCCCCGCCAAGCGTCTTCCCTTTGCTTTCGGCACCTGGGCCGGAGGGAGCCGGGTTTGGCTCAGCCTGCTCCCCTTAGAGATCCCGCCGGCTGGCTCTGGTTTAGCATTGATCCCCCGCGCACACGCATCCTCCAGCCCCATCCCCGGGAAAGCTCCCCATCTCCAGCCTGCAGAGGGAGGGGAGCTGGAGGCACCTCGCTAACGCACACACCTCGGGAGAAACACCGCGGATTTTCCCTTCCCTGCAATTTCCACCCGCTCCTGCTCCTGCTCCTGCTCCCGGCCCGGGCGCAGAGGCGGCTCTCGCCGGGATGCGAGGCTGCAGCACCCGGCTGCTCTCCATATGCACAACACACACGCGCGCACACACATGCACCGCACACACGTTAAGCCCGGTAGCAAAACAGCCCGAATTTCCCAGCCCTCCCTGTCTTTGCAACGCGAAATCCCCGTCTCTGCCACTTGATCCCCCCAGCTCTATGGGAATTCGCATGCAATAGCCGAGGACCCTCTTCCTAGCAGGGAACTTCCCCCTCGCCCTGCAGCCCCCTTACTTACCCCTCCGGCTTGCCTTTGGGACTTTGGGGGGTTCCGCTTGCTCCCCACGACAGATCCTTCCCGTGGTTAAACAGAGCTCATTGCATCCCGCGGTTAATCACTGCCTGGAGAGGGGAGGTGGGGGGATCCTTCCCTGCATGTCAGTCCAACTTGCCCGGCTTGCTAAGAAACCTCTGCTCTGCCTCGCAGCTGCCAGGGGGAGTGGGGGAGTGCATCTGGAAAAGGGGGGGGGGGTTAAAATGTTTCTAAATCCATCAGCCTTGATCTTCAGTTGTGTGCCATATAGTTTGGGGAGGGAGGAGGAGAGCTGGAGAGGGGGAAGGATGAGGTAGGGAAAGATGATGGTGACAGTGATGAATGGGGGGGTGAAAGGGAAAAATTGATTGTACCCCAGGTTGCAATGGAATCGGATGGGCTTCCCCCTTCCCTCTCTCACACCATCAGGGGCTCAGTTGAGACTTTCCAGCATCACGGTGCAAGGGAAACCGTTGAGCCTGATTTCTGAGAGGTTTGCACAACTGCAGCAAGAAGCCAAATCAAAAAGCCAATCTCTAAGCCTCCAAACTCCACGTCACCCTATCAGCTGGGAGCAAGAACTGCAACAGAATTACAAGCCATGCATATTTATTCTGCTGAATTGAGGGGGGATTTTCAGATTGTTTAAAGCAAATCGCAGCGAAACCACAGGCAAACCCTAGCCAAAATAAATAAAGGCAGACCAGCTGTCTTGCATTTAACACACACACACACTTAACACACACATTGAACACACACACACACCCCCCACTCTTCCTTCTAAGTACATTGACTTGACTTTGTACCTTGGGGGTGGGAGGAAGAGGGACAGAAGGAGTTCACCCTCAGATCAAAAGCTACGGATTGCAAATCTTAAATGTGGTGTGGCTGCCAAACACATCTGAGAGATTAAATATAGCCAGGGAAATTGTATAGGTAGCTCAGCCCAGAGTATTAATTTGAAACTGCCTGCTTTGTTTTGTGGTCACAGAATCCACCCAGTCCTCTCCCTACCCGAAGTCAAATAACAACTTGTGAGGAGGCAAGTCATTTTTAAGCTAAAAATATGTGGCCTCACAAGTTGCTATTTGACTTCGGCAAAAGATGACTGAACTGGGTAGTTTCCACAACCACAGAAACAGAAGGATGGCTTTGAAATTGGTACAGGGCACAACATGTAAGTGCCTCTATTTTTGTCAGGCGCAACCACAGCAGGTACAAGCAAATGTGTCTCCCATAAGATTTACTCTTTGGCATGGCTTTCCCTTATAAAGTCACAGTACTATGCAGCAATGTCCTTAGATGCTAGAGCATATGCGAGAGCAACCAGCTTTACTGTAAGATGATGCACTATTTCATTTTATAAAAGGAAGCTGTCTCTAGCTCTGTTGTAACAAAGTGGTCCTGATAGCTCCCCTCTGCCTCTGGCTTGAAGCAGGAGCTTTTAGCTCTATTTCAAGGCTTAAACACCTGCACAAGTGCAAATTGCCCATGTCCAAAGTGCCTGTGCAGACTGACCCAGGAAAGCAATGCCCCGGGGTATTCTGAACAGGTTTCCAAACTATATAACTACTCTCCCCTCAGCTAGTCACAGCCGCATTGGTGTAAGGGGAGAAAAGGACCAAGTCTCAGGGCAGCTGGTAGTTACAGGAATCTTGACCTACAGAAAGTTCTTATCTGATCTGCGTAACGTATGACACAAGCTCTGTAAGAGCAGAGGCAAATGGACATCGGTACCTATAGAAGGAGATTTTCATCATCTTGAAGCACCTGACTGCCAGTCCATGTGTCTTAGGCGAGGAGATCTTGCAAAGAAACTATTAGCCCACACAACCCTAGCATAACAGGATTTAAGGAAATGGGAAAATATTTGCTCCCTCAGGCCTGGCTGCTGATTTTTAATATCATCTGGGAAGACAGGAAATGGATGACCAGCAATGAGGATGTAGGCAAGGAAAGACAGAGAAACCAGGAAAAATGGTCCCTACAGAAAAGATGAATTAATAGGAGATGGCTGCATAGGGAAGCAAGCAGAATGCAAAATGTCACAAAGGCGCAGTAGTTATGAACCCTAACTGATGCAAGTACTCTTACCTCCCACGCAGTCTGCTCACAGTCCACAGATAACCCAACCCAGCTCAACCCAGGCAGACTCAGAGAAACCTGGCAAGAATGCCCCAACCCAACTCAACCCAGGCAGACTCAGAGAAACCTGGCAAGAATGCCTGAGCCATGCAAGGCTACCACTAAAGCATGCTGTGGGAACATTACACAGGGAGTCAGACAGGCAGCAGGGGAAGGCTGTAGACTTGTCTGATGACTGAGTGACTTCAGGGAAGGTGAACAGCATTGCAACACACATGCACGCATGCACACACTCACGCATGCACACACACAGGCATGGCTCCTAAGAGCCTGTGGCCCTCTCTAGTACAACTGGGAACCACAGCTTTTTATACCCCATGCACTAAATCTAGGGTTATTAGCATCGATACATGAAACTAGCAGTGTGGCATTACTCAATGATATCTGTGATGTCAGGGAAGGCTAGAATACTTTACCTAAGTCACTGGCAGCTGCATGCATGGTCAGATTTCATTTTGTCTGTTCTGATGCATGGTACCTGGGTCATGGCCAATGTCAGCTTTGGTGCCATTGTCAGTCATGTGACTGTTACTTCAATCATTCCTGAATTGTATAAGAATAGAAACAGTGCCAGTACTTATCAGCTCTGGGCCATGACCATGAAGGAGGGCCCACTATAAGTAAAGGAAAAGATTTGTGGTTACGACAGAGAACCTGTGATCAAGGAGTATTAGTTTGTGATGACATCTGTGCCACTGACTCAGAATGACTTGGCCAATATCCCCCAACCTTCTCATGCCTCTGTTTCTCATCTATAAAATGTGTGTATTAAAAAAGAGCAAGAGTTAGTTCAATGTCTTCAATTCCTAGGCAAGAAATCTCCCCACAAGGGCAAGCCAAGGGGCTGTTCAGGCCTGCAACCCATCTGTAGCGGTTACAAATAATTATTTGTATTTAATCCTAAAGGAGAGGTGAACTGGAGTTAAAGACTGAAAGTATGAACCACTTGTCAATGGGAGCAAGGCCTGGGGGTAACATATATATATTTACAGTTAACAATAGCGTACCATAGACACAGCTCATCATTGTATACAGATGTTTTATTTCACCTCTCATCTCAAACCCTGTGCATAAAGTCATGCCTAAAATGTGTAAGAAATGCTTGTGGGCATTTCCCTCTCTGTTTCCATTCCATATGGGCATGAACCTATGCCTCTCAGTTTGTGAAGAAAATATTTAGCACAACAGGGAGTATATTAAATATTTTATTCCTCAGTAATCTCAAGATGTGCTTTCTTCTACCAATCTGGGCAAGAAAGCATCCAAGCCTTTAAATAAAAAATGTTTCTTATTTATGTGAGACTTAGCCAATAAAATGCAAGTAGTTAAGCAACTGGACTGCACATGGCATTCCCACAGTACAGACTTAAATATTGTTTTTTTTAGTAAATACTGACTTTCAGTGCAGACCTCCAAAGGACTTCTCCTGTGTTACGTCACAAAGACCTATTGAAAGATAAGTGAATACCAGTTTATCTGCATCAAGGAACATATACTTTTATCTTAATTTTCATATATTGATCATATTCTTATGTTGTCTTTTCTTTTATCACGCCGCACATGTACCAGATGCAGAGAGATCTAATTATCTGCTTTTATTATGTGTGCAAAGGTAAAATTAAATGTTTTAAGAAAACTTCCTGTCAACTCTACTTCCAGAAGAAAGACTATAGATATAACACACAAGATCCCACATTCAGTTACCTTCCAGATCAGTGCTGGCAGTATTAGAATGATGCAGTAGCCATGTCTTGCATTCAACAGCATGCCTAACTCTATCCCAACTATACAGCTGGTCCAGTAAAAGGTATCACCCCATGTATTTGTTCTCATACACTCAAAAATTAAAGGCCACACTTAAACTTCAGGTGAGTTTTATTGGGATCTGGGGTTTGTAAGAAATATCAGGCTAGCCACACACACTCTTCTTTGAATCTTCCAGGCAAAGGAATGTTTTTTCTAACTCAACCCCTGATCTTAAAGCTCATCTGAATTCTTTCTTCCTATATCCACCTCATCTGTAATGAAGATGCTGCACCTAGAAATTATTGTGAGCACCATTGTCAGCTAAACAAAATTACCATAATAGACTTCAGTTTACTTTCTCAAAGCACTGCCAGGGCAATGTCACGTACCAACAGAAAAACTGCAAGTTCTGGAAAAAAACAATGAGAGGAGAATGAACAAATAAGAAAGAACAGTTTTGTTTCTCTGTAATACATCAAAGACTACATAATTACTGTTAAGGCTCTGATATGATTTCCATCCAAAAATATCAATCTGCCCCAGGCATTGTACTATATTGGAGCTAAAACAAGCAAGTGAGCAAGGAGGATTCAACCACTGTTTGTCTACTCTGTAGTCAATCCCCCACCATCTTGCTTTCTGCTCTCTTTTCCTCCTCAGAGTGATCTTAAACATACGTTACCTGGACTCACTTCTTTTCCATTCAGTTAGTTTAAATGTAAGGGACCTTACTGTCCCTCGCACAGGGCACCAGTGACACCTACTGAAGTCAAAGGGAGTTACTTGTATCTCCTGGGGTTGCAAATCTCTCCCTTTTTCATTCTAAACTTGGCTTTGGTTTATCTGGATTTGGGTTTCATGCTATACATTTCTCATACCTTTGGGTTTTTTTTTTCCCATTTGGCTTTTATTAGGTGTCTGTTCATGTTAGCATTGCAAGGGATGGAATAACATGGCATTTCTTAGTAGGATTTCAGTTGGAGAACATTCAAATGCAGTACTACTTTGAGAAAATGGCTGTTAAAAAAAGGCAACATCTTCATTGTTTCGCCAGAATTCCTGAGCAAATTAACTCAGTTTACAAGTAGAATTATCATTATTCCAATGACCATCCTTGCAAATGTAGTCAAAGCTAGAAGAGGCAAAAAGGGCTCTTCATACACATCACCAGTAATAAAGGCCCTGTAGCACAAATTGTACCCTGGGTGATAGCCATGCTGTTCCACTGTCTTTTAATTATGTTCCCAGTGACAGCTGTGCGGCCCCATTGGGTTTGCACAAAATGAAACCTTGTAAATGGAATTCTGTTGATGATGCACCAGGTGGCATAGACAGTAGCTTGCTCTTGCTCAGCTGGCTTGGTTCTGCGGGCTAGCCAGAGTAAAATCTTCTAGTCACTCAGATCAGCTGGCCTGGTTGCTGTGCACATAGGGAGCAGATCTGATAACTGGTATTTCACAGCCCCTGTTCAAAGCAGAACTGCAATTTGAGGGGTAATGTCCTTGTTTTAAGGTCTAACCATGAGTCACATATATTTATTTTTGCATGTAACGATTGCTACAGGCTCTTTGTGTGACCATGTAAAAATGAGCAACATGGTAACTTAAGCAATTGATGTCACAAGTGTGCCCTTC